TGTGCTTGTGTGGTTTGGGATTGTGTTTTTTGTCTGGGCCGTTGGCTCCTGTGAGCCCGTCTGCGTACGGGTGTTTCCTCGTTTGGGGCCGTTCCACATTACCTCGTTTGGGGTCGTTCTACATCACCTCGCTGGGGTTGTTTTATTTTGTCAGTGTCGTTAGTTCTTGTGTTGGTGTTTGAGTCGTTTTCTTTCTAGCCTTGCTAGCGATTCTAGGCGGACCTCGGTCTAGCCTCCAAGTTTGTATTTTCGCACATTTGTGCGCTTATCTATAGTACATCTATCGTTCCGGAAAAGAAAAAAAAAAGAGTATATTAGACATTTGAATAGTCGATTATATAGATTTTGGATAAAACTTTATTATAAAAAATTACTATATATATATATAAATATTTGGAAAAATATATTACAATATTACTCAATCACTAATCCAACTAATGAACCATTTGAACCAACTGCATAGATTGAATAAATGATTATGCTCTTACAACCTTAATAATAATTAGTCGTTGTCATATAAATACCCAATAAAATACTGAGAAATGCTATGGTCCCGTTACAGAACTATCCCATTGAGTGTTTTAATCGTTGGATACATATGTAGTTAGTATATATATACCCAATAAAATACTGGAAAATGCTATAGTCCCATTACGGAACTATCCCGCCGGGTGTTTTAACCGTTAGATCATCTATCTTCATCTATCTTATACTGACTATATGTGTATTCAACGGTTAAAACACCTGACGAGATGGTTCCGTAACATGTAGCATTTCCCTAAAATACTTTATATTATGCTAGAGTAGCGCGCTTATGCGATAAGAGTGATTGAGAAACCTCGTCTTTCCATAGTTGTGTTACATGACATACAAAATAAGTCAAGATTCCTTCATTTTGGGGAAGACTTATGTTTTTCTTAAGAATATTTGTCTTGTATCAGTTTCTACAAATAAATAATTATGGGTAAAAATACAATTTTAATCCACTAATTAACTCTTAATTTTGTGTTTTCTACTTTTTCATTATTTTTTTCGAGTTGTAACTTGGTATATTAATTTTTATTTTGTATCAGTTTTATTGAAATTGAGAATATATATATAACAAAGTTTGTTCATAGAAAATTTTATTAATTTCATCATTTTTTTTGTGTGTTTTTTTAATGTAAAATATACCAACATGAAAAAAAAAATTGTAATCATTAATATGTATTTTTAATTATCATAAATCTATATTTATCCACCTACATACATATATGTAAACGATTAATATCATCAATCAAAATTTTATTATTTTTAATATCTTATCACCTTTAAATCATTTGTCATATATTCATTTACAATTTCAAATTAATCTCATCACATTTTTTCAACTTTTTTATATATATAATAAATATATCCAATCTTGGCGCAATTAGTTGATGATAACCCTATTGTCTCACTTAGGTAAACTCTCAAATTAATATATATGCATTTGGATTTTGAATCACATGCACATGAAAATGAATAGTTATAATAATTTAGAAAAAAAAAAGAAAAAAAAAATCGTTATTGTGATCCTATTTTCAGCGAATAATTTGAATCTAATGCATGCTACCTATTCGAAAGCACAGCACAAGCTTCCACAACTGAAACATAAAGAACAAAATGCACCTCAAATGAGGATTTTATTTATTTATTTATTTATTTATTTATTTTATTAAGGTTCGTTATAAGTTGAAATGTTCCAATCAATTTGACATTTGATAACCTATTAATTATTATTATTATTATCATATATTGACTACTTTATGGCAAAATTCCATGTAACTACAAACCGCTCGTATAATCATTAAGTGAGTCGATTCATCGTATTTGTATAATACAAAATACATGTTTATGTTAATGATATCAATCAAAACGTAAATCTAACTCGATTTTAACCAACCGTATTATTGTCAATATTATCAATATAAATAAAAATATCAACCAGTCATTCTTACACATCACATCAACTTTAATTCACTATTCATCTACTCACGTAATTTTAACAAACCATCACTTCCAATCATTTTTCTTCTAATTTAAATCAAATCAACTTTAATCATAGTTTTTAAACCCGGCCCGGTAATCGACCGGGGAAGGTCTCTGGGTCACCGGTTCATCTGTTCAACTTCAACCGCATGGTCATCGGATCAATTGTTGAATCGAATAATCAATTTAAAATTTTTAAAATTATATATAGATTATTTTATCATGTAAATATAAATAAAATTAACAAAATTAAATGTTTTGTATGTAAAATTTGTAGATTAAAGTGGTAATAATATATATTTTATGATAGATATTTACTTATAAATATATATACATAGTTTTATTTTTTTTAAAAACAAAAAAAAAATAAAAAAAAATATATATAGAGACCGGGTCAACCGAGTTGACCCATCTAGGTCAATGACCGGGTCGACTGGGTCAAGGCCAGGTTTTGATCGGGTCCTTAGTTGCCCGGTCCAAATAGTCCACCTAGACCAGTTCCAGCTCTGTATCGATCCACCGGGCCAGTCCGGGTTGAAAAACACTGACTTTAATTATTTTATTTTAAATATTAATTTAATTTTAAACTTAAATTTCAACTTACAATTAATCTCAAAATTAACCGTGATTAACTAAAAAATCAACCAAAAACCATTCAAATCCATATACAATCACACTCCCCAAACCATTAGCCCTTAAGTACTGTAGTGGATCATGGTAAATGATTATTTATTTATTTATTTATTTTAAAAAGGAATCATATCTTATAAAAGGACTTGCAAATCACAAGTCTTCATGCCTAGCTGGAGAAAAAAAACAGCAGTTAGGTAATTAAATATTTATATAAAATCAGGCCTTGTTTTCATTTTTTTTTTCCCATATTAAACCTTCTAAAACCTTCTCTAACCACTTCATATTAATCTCATCAAGTGATCCTAAAAGAAAGAAAGGAAAAAAGAACACTCAAAACATTATTTTTACAGTTAAGTCCAAGCAACTAACTCTAATCACCCAATGGCAGTCAAGAAGAAGGTGAGATCATGGCAGGACTGCTTTTCGGGCTGCTTCAGGCCCGAAAGCCCGAGCCCGAGCCCGAACCAATCGACGAAGAATGCGGCGGGCTGGAAACGCTCTTCCTTCCGGAGGATTTCGTTGTCGGATTTCAGCAGCTCGAACATATCGGAAGATTTATCGGTGTCCTTAGCGGGCTCGAACTTGCACGTGTTTACGCTTCACGAGCTGAAGGTGATCACCCAGAATTTCTCATCCAGCAATTTTCTAGGCGAGGGGGGTTTCGGGCCGGTCCACAAGGGCTTCATTGGCGAAAGGATGAGGCCGGGCCTGAAGGCCCAGCCCGTTGCCGTCAAGCTCTTGGACTTGGATGGGTCACAGGGCCACAAGGAATGGCTGGTATGTATGACATTAGTCTATCTATCTACATTGTTCTTTTAAATTTAAATGATCATCATACTTGCAAATTATAATTAAAATAGTGCAATTTTGATCAATAATAACATTTTCTTTATTTTTTCGGGGGATTATTCGAACAGACCGAGGTTGTTTTTCTTGGTCAATTAAGACATCCTCATTTGGTGAAGCTGATTGGATACTGTTGTGAGGAAGAACATAGGCTTTTGGTGTATGAATACATGCCCAGAGGCAGCCTTGAAAATCAGCTCTTTCGAAGTAAGTCCGATTTTTTTTTTTTATTTGTTTGGTATTGTTAGTATATTACATTCTCGTTCCGTTACTCGTGTAGTGTTTGCAAGTGAATGAAACAAAAAGATATCAGAAAGATCGATCGGTTGGTCTTGTGTAGCGCAGGCTGCCTAACCGTTTGACAGACGTACTGTTTTTACAAATATGCGTCATGTCATTAGAAAAATGTCACACTTGAAAAAACAAAACGAAGATAAGTATGCATTTTTGTTCAAGTAGAATAACGGGTCGACCCGCTTAACTGTTACATTTGTCTCACACAAGAATTTGTGATTAATTTGGTGATATTCACATTTACAGATTCATTCTAGCAACTTGTGAACTTTGTAAGAATAAAGTCTTTTTTATCTTTCAATCATAGGATTTTCAGTTTCGATTCCATGGTCGACAAGAATGAAGATTGCTCTAGGAGCTGCAAAGGGGCTTGCTTTTCTCCACGAAGCCGAGAAACCGGTTATTTACCGCGATTTTAAAGCTTCTAACATTTTGCTAGACTCGGTAAGTCGATAATCTGTACATACATAAATACTTATTGCTCTGTTACTCGTGTTCTGTTTCTATATTACATATTGTGTTGTTCTCATGTTCGGTACTTTTTCTCTTGTTTTCAGGACTACACACCCAAGCTCTCGGATTTCGGCCTCGCGAAAGACGGCCCGGAAGGAGACGACACGCACGTCTCGACACGAGTTATGGGCACACGAGGTTATGCTGCTCCCGAGTACCTCATGACGGGTAAATAACTAACTCAGTTTTTATTTTTTTTTATTTATTTTTAACTTACTAGTCAACATTACTAATCGAAGTTCTGTTTTTTCAGGTCATTTGACGGCTGCAAGCGACGTGTACAGCTTCGGAGTCGTACTCTTGGAGCTCCTAACGGGCCGAAAATCGGTGGACAAAACTCGACCTTCGAGAGAGCAGAATCTCGCGCCGTGGGCCCGGCCCATGTTGAAGAACCCCCGGAAGCTCGCCAGGCTGATGGACCCGAAGCTGGAAGGGCAGTACCCGGAAATAGGGGCCCAAAGGGCGGCTGCAATAGCCTACCAATGCTTGAGCCACCGGGCCAAGATGAGGCCGACAATGAGTGAGGTTATTAAGGTTTTGGAGCCGTTGGAAAATCTCGACGACTCTCTGAACGACACGTTCGTGTTTGCTGTCTCGACAGACAGCGACTCGCAGAGCGACATCTGGAGGGAAGTTAGACGGCGAAAGGAGTTCGTAAAGTGTCGTCGTAAGTTCCGTGAGGCGCATAAAAACCGGAGCAGGGCCTTCACGTCGCCGGTGTTTTTCCTGGAAAGTGATTTGGAGGAGGACTCTGGAAAAGATTAACAAAAGCTGCTATGGTAGTGAAATTACCCACATATTCATTTTTTTTATTAATAATTCGTTGAACTTTTGAATAAATGTGGCGGCAACGTGTTATTGTTGATAGAATTGTTGAAGAAGAAGGAGAAAAAACAGTTAATCACATGCAATTTGCATAGTTGTATTGTAGACTCGATTGTATATTGAGATTAGAGTATAATATTTGTTGGAGGCCAAATGGGACTTAAGGGGTGTGTTTATCGGATATTTCAATTCACATTCAAAATCTAATTTTATTTTAACTAAACTTTAAAATCTTTAATATTATCAATAAATAATACTAACTAATAAGTCTTACATATCACATCAATTTTAATTTACTATCCACTAATTCAAATAATTTTAACTAACCATCACTTCACATCATGTCTAATATTTTCGCATCAAATCAATTTTAATTATTTTATTTTAAATATTATTTTAATATAAAATTAAAATCACACTAACAACTAATCATATAAAATTTTTCAAAATTAAATATAGTTAAAAAAAACTCGTTTTGAGCGTATATATTAGTATACAAACACACTCTAAAAGTTAGTCTACGTGAATTTTATTACAACATGAGCGTGACTAACGAGTTGTTAAACAAAACGAATTGCTTGCGGATTCAGTTCGCCTGGCTCAACTCGTTAAGCTAATTTGATAAATGAATCAAGCACGAGTCCATTTAAACGAGTCAGATTGAGCTTGGCTCATTAAGATTCGACAATAAGTTTGACATATTTTGGAAATAATTTCATTATAGTTCGTCTTGTTAATATTGATAAACATCTAGATGGAGCTCGTCTATTGGCTCATTGGCTCTACTCATGACAATTTTGTTATGTGTTTCCTTTTTCCCTTAAATTAAATGTAATATAGAAATGAGACTATTGAAAATTAACACATGAATTGTGAAAATGAGCGTGAAACCAACGAACCTACCTACCTTGAACCGGTATCTCGCTCCAAATTTTTCAATTTGCTAAACTTAAATATTGATTAGATTCCTTGTAGAAAAAATAAAAAAGAAACTTAACTTGTATGATGAATTTTCAAGGCTAAGATCAAAAGGGATCACTAAAGTTGACATGTTAATAATATTAATCTAAACGCAAATAATTAAATAAATAAATAAATAAAGTTAGAACTTAGAAGGCTAAGTAAGGGGTGAACCCAAAATCCCACAAAGATATTGTTTTATCTTTACTTTTTCAAGAGAGGGTTGTTTGAATAAAATTAGGTACCTTGTTTTGATAGCTGGTTTGGATTGGGGAATCAGTCACTCAAAAATTTAATTTTTCTCCGTTTATTTGTCTGAAGTCATTTTTTAATACATTAATATTTTTCTCATCAATAATAGTACGCTATGTTTTAATCTGTATCACTATTGGACCATTATCGCAAAAATAGTTCATTATTTTTTAGGATTTAATGTCTTAAAAATGATACAAATTGCAACATAACGTACAATTTTAATAAATTTATTAAAATATTTCTTTCTGTTGTCATTTTAATAAATTCAATAAATATTTTGTCTAATATTTAGAAGATATAATATTAGAATTTTGGTTCTTTTTATTGTTGTGAATATCTAGGAAGGATGCCATTTTCCCAAAAAA